CCTACCAGATCATGCTGGATCCATCCCTGATCTGATCTAACCCTAACTTTGTTAAGCTGAGGAAGTTGTCTACTGCAGCGTGCTTTTCTTATCTTTGAGTTTCAATCCTTGCAGTAACCATGGATTATAAAATAACTGGATAGGAAACTTCCTGACGTCACAGTCTAAACCTAGTTGCAATCTGTGACGTCACATGTATTGCCAAAGTTCTCAGCATTTTTGTTGTTTCGCTATATTTTCCGCTTTGAAAGAGTAATATTGAAGCATAAACTGGTCTAATTGTTTTAAAAACATGCCTAAGCCACGACAAAGTATTGTGTTTTTCGTCTTTGTTTTGTATTTTTTAACATTTGTAGCTACGAAATTGGCGTCGCCAATTTTTACGAAATTTGCGATGCATTTTTCACTGTTTAGTGCTTGAAATATTTGCTAAAATTGACTGGGAATACTTAGAGATTTCATCGTAGAATGGCGTAGTTATATTTATTTGCTCTTTGACTAAAATGTTTAGCTGTATTATCGCTAAACATGCCGTTTTTGAGAATTTGGTTTGCAACTAGGTTTCAACGCCACCATCCCATTGAAAACATTAGGTCACGTCAGCTAGTTTCCTATCCATGTATTTTATTATCCATGCAGTAACTAAGTTTCATAAAGGTTTTACACCCGTTTTCAAAATTACGCGACCAAGGACGAAAATGCTAGAGTTGACATGTCAGTTTTATGTCATTCGGTCACGAAGTTTAAACTTCGAGTTTTGCGGTTCCTTGTCGATGTATATGCTTTGTATGCTTTATATAAACAGACTTACAATGATTTTCAAGATATTTTAGTGAGAATTATTGCAAAATTTAAGCACAAACAAAATCATAACATATCGTTATAGTCTAGCGCGCGTGTTTTATACGGACAGCTAAATTCCAGGATAAATTGTTATTTTTCAAACTTTAAAAGTTATTCACGGCACATATTTCTGTTGTGATGGTTTGTTATAGTGCTTTAGTTTGTATATCTAAGTTATCTAGCTCATTTTTGTTCAGTTTTGGTATTAAATACGATTTAAAATGTCTTTTGCCAGTTTGTTTACGTTTGCTATTTTTAGCCGTTTTTGTGACATAAAACTGACATTTGAAGTAAGAGTATTTTTCAGGGAGGTCGCGTAATTTTGAAAATGGGTGTAAACGATCATACTACTGGTGAGCTTAATTAAACAAGCGATGTTTTTGTCAACGTCACTCGAAAATTGGTATGACTAATTTTGGCGGCATTTTGTATCATAGTGCTCATGTGAGGAAGCAAAAAAACTTTAAAAATCTTATGTTTTGTCACATGTGTTGAAAATTACTACAAACCGATACAAACACGTTTTAATCCAGTCCCTCCTCGGCAATCTGACGTCTGTGTTGACATAAACCGCGTTGCTTGTTCAAACTCGTTAATGGCTTCACTAAAATAGCAATACCTGCAGAATTTTTCTCAACAAAAAATCTCATACGTAGTTCTTCTTGACGACCACAGGCAAGCGAATATGAGAGCCTCGAAGTTAAAATTCAAAATTTCCTGTTTGGTAAGAGGAATAGCGGGCGATGATCGTTTCTGATGGCTCGCTTAAACTCATCGCCAAAAATCGCGTCGTCGATTCTAGCTATCGAATAAACCACGTGCTAAATTGTAGAACGCGCACGCATGCAGGCATACACGCATGGATTAGAGAACTGAAACAAAAATTGTGTTAGAAAATAGAAATATCTGACCTGATTTTCCTCAACCTTTGACCTGATCAGTGTACGAACACCTTCGCCGTGTTTTCTATTTTCCTTCCACGTTCCTCGAAACACGTGTCCCGCGTGTGATTTCTCCACCCCTGAGCCATGTTTCTGGGAAAGAAAGGACTTTAGTTACAATGCCCTGTTGGGAAATTCGTTCATGAATGAGCGAGAAACTCAATAAAGTCAAAACCCGAAGAAAAACATGGATTCAAACTGGAAACACCAAGACAAATGCATGACGGGTTGTGCACCTTCTAGCTTCACAGTTTATAACTAGAGGTGAATTGTCAAGACGTAAAACACGAAGTTCACAGAAACTAAATATTCCGCCGTTTAAGAGTGCTGCAGGACAAAAAATTTTCTAGAGTAGTAATTTTATGGAACTGTATTGAAGAGCGTTTGAAATTATGTGGTATATTTTCTAGTTTTAGATATAATTCTTCTTCAATTGTTAACAATTCTAGAACATTTCAACAATTTGGTTTATAATATAGCATTTGTAAATTCTGAACGCTGATTGGCTAAGAGCCGTGTTGATATAACTCAATGTCAACACGGGAAATTTTCCGCCGCTTGTAAACACGGAAATTTTGCTTATCCTTCGGGCTTTTGACATTGCTATATTATAAAAAAAAATAAAACATTTTTTCCGTATTGATATATAGTTATATCAACACACGTGGAAGTTGGGAAAACTCGAAATTGTATGAAAACACTCCGCCCTTCGGGCGTCGTGTTTTCATACAATTTCTCGTTTTCCCAATTCCACTCGTGTTGATATTTAACAAATATAAAACATTTTCCGTGTTGATATACAGTTATATCAACACGAGTGGAAATTGGGAAAACGAGAAATTGTGTGGAAACACGACGCCCGAAGGGCGGAGTGTTTTCACACAATTTCGAGTTTTCCCAACTTCCACGAGTGTTGATATAACTATATATCAATACGGAAAAAATGTTTTATATTTGTTTTATAATATAGCAATGTCAAAAGCCCGAAGAATAAGAACAATTTCCGTGTTACAAGCGGCGGAAAATTTCCCGTGTTGACATGGAGTTATATCAACACGGCTCTTAGCCAATCAGCGTTCAGAATTTTCAAATGCTATATTATAAAACTATATATCAACACGGAAAATGTTTTATATTTGTTAAATAACGCATGTGGTAGTATAAATAGTACAAGTAGTATCTTAATTATTTTTTTGTAAATTGTCAGTGAAAAGCCCCAATGGGGAGTCGTCAATAACATCAACACTCTACATACAGCAGATAAAACCATCATACCATATCAGCTTTCCAGCTTCCTTCATAACGTGTTCTATAAGAAATCTCTATACCAGACCCCTCTCGCATACCACAGCACCAATCACCTGGAAGGCAAAAACAGTAATTTCTGTGTTAATAATATTGTAGTAGACTAATAGCAGACTAGTAAGTAACTACTGAGTAAATTTACACTAAATACAAAAAAGACAATCTAGATACCTGTGTAGGAGTAGTCAGTGTTTGGATCATTATATACGCCATTACCATCAAACTATAACAATACAGAGCTACATTATACATTGTGAAGTTTTTGATAACATTATGAATACACCTTGATATCCCATTACATCCTATCGTATCCTATCTAATCTTATCATATCATATCATATCCTATCCATTATCATATCATATTATATCCATTACATCCTATCGTATCCTATCTAATCTTATCCTATCATATCCTATCATATCCCATCATATCCTATCTTATCATATCCTATCATATCCTATCCCACTTTAACCCACCTTATCCCATTTCCACTCTCCAACATAGAGGATATTATTTGGATAAATGAGCTGCCCTCGACCATGACGAAACCCGAGGCAATGTTCACCTGGAAAGAAAGCAATCCAAATAAAAAATGTAAAATCAATGAAAAACCTAAAAGCAACAGTGTTCGATGGTCATGTTCTAATTTTTTTTAACAAACGATGTTTCGATACAGTGATGCCAGTTTTGTGAGGGCTCTTTATACAACATAAAGCAGAGTAATAGATCTTACCTTCGTACATACGCTTATCTTTAAAAATAGTTTTACCATGGCCACTCGGCTGTAGAAAAAAAGAAAATATTTGGAAATTTCATTTGCAAGGATTATCCGAGAAGACGCGAAAGTCTAACCATTTTCTGATGTCAATGTAAAGTACTAAAGGTACAGTAGCTCTTTCTTCTCAATTATTTTAAAATCTCGAGTCCTAGCTTGAAAGCGTACTGACCACAACACCCCAAGTGCTAGGGCCAAAAAAAAATATGCGGGTTTCCGGTTTCCCGTCGTTGGACGTCGAAATCCCGACCCTAAACTTTTTTTATTGGATCATGCTTGTAAGTGTTTCCACTTAGAGGAAAACGTTTGTGAAAAATGGAAATTTGAGGCAATATTTGGGAATTATGTGGAAGCACTGACTAAACAAAATGGCGTCCGGTTGTTAGGAAAATTAAAAAAAAGTTTAAAAAAAAAGTTAAAACCGACCTACCCTACCTAAGTTTTTACAAGAAGAAATAGGAAACCCACATATTTTTTTTGGCCTAGTTAAAACAGTAAATATAGTAAAGTTAACAAGCAGCTCACCTTGCCATTCTCCCACTCGCCTTCATAGACAGATCCATCTTTATAATACATAACACCTTTCCCGTGCATCGTGTCTGCTTCCCACTGACCATTATATGTATCACCGTGGGCATACATCAACTGTCCTTTACCAACTCTCTGGAAATGAAATACTCGAGTTGAAATCATTTTAAGCTCCACAGTCCACACAGCTCGGGTGAATTCGTACAGATAGAAATGTATGTAAAGCCTGGTTTACACTATCAACGTTTCTGTGATCACAGTAGGAATTTTGCATGGATAAATTCTAAGTTTTGAAGGATTTGTAAGAAATGTTTGAGGAAATTGATTCAATGTTAAACACCGACTCAGTTCCCACAGGGTTCGTAGTCTCCAAGAGCAAAAATATTGAAAGACTCTCAAAGATTTTTTCTGCCTATTTTAAAAGACTTTTCAAAGAACTTTCAGATTACTCAGCTCTCGAAAAATTACGAGTGTAAGCGCCATTGTTACCCGGTAATTAGTCCCGTCAAATCACATCCTAAAATGCACCTTTTCGTCGATATTTGCGAAAACCTTGCTCTTCAATCAACCTATTTTATTAGCTAGGAAATCGTATAAGCAAACACTTACTAAAGAATCTAAAGACTTTGAAAGACTTTCGTCGCGTTTTCACACAATTCAAAGACTTTTCAAAGACCTTAAAGACCTGCATTCAAATTTAAAGACTTTCAAGGATTTCAAAGACCGCTACGAACCCTGTCCCACAAACATACTCTTACAAATCCTTCAAAACGTAGGATTTACCCATGCAAAATTTCTACTGTGATCACAGAAGCGTTGGTAGTGTACACCGGCCTTTAATACTACGTACTACCATATGAATAAGACAGACATACTACCTTGTTTTTGTGCCACGTTCCAGTATATTCGTCACCATGAGGATATGTCATTTTCCCCTGACCATTCATAAAATCGTTATTCCACTGTCCTTCATAAACTATACCATTTACAAGTTTGAAACAACCACTCCCATGACGCTGTGTAAAAATCAAACATTATACATGGGTTTTACTATTTTACTCGTCAAGAGCACTAGCGCTCAATGGGTTAATAGCAACAGCTAAAAATCAACAATAAATAATGAAAATACAAACTTGAACTTACCAGTTCATTAACCCACTCGCCCGTATATTCATCCCCGTTGAAATAAATCATCTGACCATAACCACAAATACGATCATTTAACATTTCCCCTCTGTCAAAAGAACATGAAAGACAGTTAAGTTAACTAAACTACATTATAGCTTTATCTATACTGGATAGCTTTATCAGTTCAAAATTGTTCTTTCATACTTACTTATATTCGTTGCCATTTGGCAGAAACAAATGTCCTTGACCGTGCCTCTAAATGAACGGAAGTGTACAAGAAATAAATGCGTGAAGCCTCGAGCTTTCTTAAATAAAGGGTGAAAAAACCAGTCCAAAACAACAAACCTTGCTTTTCTTCCATTCGCCTTTATACACCAATCCACTGGTACACGTCATTTCACCATTGCCTTCCACTTCATTATTCGACATTTCACCATCATAACGGTCGCCATTTGCAAAGTCGATTACGCCCTGTACAAGAATGAAGTTTGTCAAGCTTTTATGTTTCATGCAAGGACGTAATGGTGGGTGTTAGTAAGCGATACATTACAGTAAATTGTGTTCAACTTCAAGGTGTATATCCTTGTATAGTACTTTGTGTCCTTTTGTTGTTGCGCCTGCCTTAGGGCAAATTATTTTAAATAAAAAATATATAAAAAAACATTTGATAAGACCAGGGAGAAAATTCAACTACATCTACTACATAGGGTTCCACAATAAATAAAAGGCAACTTGAATTTTTATATACTACAATTTAATGCGAGTTATACTGGTCAATTTAAGAAGTTTGAAAAAATCACGGCCCCAGTACATATAATTAGAGAGTTTAAGCTTTGCGTTATACGGCAAACGCCAGGCAAAGAAAAATTTTACGGTATCAGGCAATAAAGAGTAAATGAACTTGCTGTTTTAAAACTAAACTACAATGCATGACTATTCTTTCGACGCAAGAAAGAAAATATGAAACGAAAACGTTCAACGAAAATTTTGCCAAGAAAGTTCGAACCTGCCGTTTGCCGTTCCCGGAAACGCGAAGCTTTAACTCCCTAATATATAATAAAACGAATTACCACTCCCTCACTCTGGTAACTATCGGTCAGTTCACCACCATCTTCTGCACAATAGTGATTAGTGAAAGCCAGTGTGAAACTCACCTGCACGACAATGATGATATCACTGTATTGCTTACCTTGCCATGCATTTTCCCTTCTCGCCACGGTCCATGATAAACATCATTATTCACATACGTCTGTCGTCCCTCACCCTCTGAAAAGAAATAGCGACATTGTCAATATACTGTACAGATACCCCTCCCCCAACCCCTTCCACCTACCCCTTCCTTAGCATCCGCCCCTCTCCGCCGTCTATTTCCATCCTCCTTCCCCCACCCTACTACAATGTACCTATTTTCTGATTTCACACCAGGAAAGGAGCAAGTCAATGAAAAATTCTCAGATATTCAGTTCAACTGACCTTTCTTATCGGCGACCCAATATCCAACGTATTTCTCGCCCGTGTAATACGTGAGTTGCCCATGACCGTGGCGTTCATCATCTGCCCAGGATCCCTGAGATTAATAATGAAATTCACTGGTAAGAAATCGTCTTTATTTGAAACTACATCGAATACAGACGAGCCACCTACAGTAACTACATATGTAGTACATTTATAGTATACAAAGTTATACATTTATGTATTTCACTTTAGTCTAGCATTTTCTTACCTCATAACGAGTTCTATTCGGCCAAGCCATAACACCTTGGCCATGTCTTTTCCCGTTCACATATTCCCCACAGTAAACGCTGCCATCGAAATACGTATCGGATGCCTTTCTTCGACCTGGAAGAATACATAAAACGTAAATATACAAGCTGAATGGTCTCTGCCAGTGTAGGTAGTACCAAAAATGATAAAACTTCGGATTAATTAGACCGATTTTAAACACTACATAACTTTTAATTTTAATTTAATTTAATTTAATTGCTTTTCCATCACTACTGTACAGAAACATACACACACATACATACACACATATACATACATGGTTGGGTATCCGCAACAGCCTGAAACCAATTACTGCGGGCCCAAAACGTTAAGAAACAAATATCAATAACACAAATAACAATTAAACCATA